ATCCCTGTGAGTTCAAGGCCAGCCTGGTCTACATAGTGGCTTCAGGCCAACTGGGGCTACAGGGAGACCCTATCTCAAAAAGACAAAAAAAAAATTCTTATTTTTATTTTATGTATATGAGTGTATTGCCTGCATGTCTGCAAGTGCACCCATGTCTTGCAGTGCCCACAGAAGTCAGAAAGGGGCCATTAGACATCGGATCCTCCGAAACAGATGGTTGTTAGCTACCATGTAGGTCCTGGGAACTGAACCTGGGTCCTCTTCAAGAGTAGCCAGTATTCTTAACCACTGATCTATCTCTCCAGCCCCCAGTATGGTAGTTTTTGAGACAAGGTCTCAATTTGTAGCCCATGCTGGCCTTGAACCTGCAGTGATCCTCTTGCCTCAACCTTCTCCCAACTAGGATTGCAGGCATGAGCCACTATGCCTGGCTATAACTCAGTTTTAACCCTTCCATTATCCATTACAATTACTTTTTAAATTGGTATTAATTTTGTGTATGTGTGGGAGTGTGGGGGTGTGAGCATGTGTACATGCCACAGTGCATGTGTAGAGGACAGAGGGCAACTAGTGGGAGTCATTTCTCTCCTACAGGTCCCAGGATTCAAACTCAGATGGTCAGGTTTGGCTTGATGGCATTTGAGCCATTTTGCCAGCCTCCATTACAGTTATGAAAGCTAGTGAATAATTTAGTAAATTTAAAATTTTATAAATGTACCTAAGATTTTTGGCTTATGGCTTCCTGATTTTTAAAATTAATTTCTTTTTATTTTAATTTTATGCATATGTATATATATGAATGTACTGCTTGTGTGTAGTACCCATGGAGGTCAGAAGAGGACATTGGATCCCCTGGAACTGGAGTTAGGAATGGTTGTTAGCCACCATGTGGAAACTGAACCTGGGTCCTCTTCAAGAGCAGCGCCAGCGGTCTTAACCATTGAGCCATCTCTCCAACCCCTCATCTTCCTATTTTTAAAAGTTTTGTTGCATTCTTCCTGAACATGTTCTACATGATACTGATTCCTTGGTTCTTTCTGAGATTTGCTTTGTGGTTTTTAGTTGGTCATTTAAAAAAAATTCATGTTAGGGGCTGGAGAGATGGCTCAGCAGTTAAGAGCACTGACTGCTCTTGCAGAGGACCCGGATTTGATTCCCAGCACCCACATGGCGGCTACGCACCATCCTTAACTCCAGTTCCAGGGGAATCTGAAGCCCTCTTCTAACCTCTGCAGCAAAGCACAACACCAGTGCACTCAACGTACATGTACATGCAGGCATACACTCATACACATAAAATAAAAATAATAGAATATAAAAAAATTCATGTAAATGTGTGCTTGAAATAGAAGTACAGCTTAAAATGTTGGCTACAAGATTATGCCATACTGCAGTGTTTTGCTGTTAATTTACCTATGTGCCCTTTCCTCTATTGTCTTTTACTGTCATGTTGTTGGTTGCATTCTTGCTTTTTGGTGTTACATAGTGCTGGAACAGACCCTGGTGTCACAGGTTGGATAACCTCAAGTCCTCTGGGCATCACCTGTACTGCATGTGTCACAGAGATTTTTTTTTTTTTTAATTTGTATTTGTTGTCTTTTAGCTAACAAATTTAATAATTTGCATTTGCCACAGTTCAGAATTTATGGTAGGTTTATTCCTGTGATCTTATTCTGCATTCACTAGTCTTTCTACCCATGGTGTTCTTTTTGTCAAAAATGTCCTTTGTTTGTTTGCTTTACAAAAAAATCACTCTTGAATGATAGTTTATTTGTACATAGGATGCGATGATGTCTCAGAAATACTTCTGTTTCTTTGGTTGTGTGCTCTCTTTTCTAAAGTCTGTGCAGCCAGTCTAACTCCTCTGTCTATAGGTAGTCTCTTCCCTGTGCTTGCTTTGAACAGTATCTTTTTGAGGAGAGAAAGAGAGAGAGAGACAAGAGAGAGCATATGTGTGCATGAGTGTGTGTTTGAGTATGTGAGTGTGTGTGAGTATGAGTGAGTGAGTGTGTGAGCATGTCTGTATGTGTATGTGTGAACCCAGGGCCCCATGTGTACTGGGTAATACCCTGTCTCTGCCTCTACCCACCCTGTGCCGCACTAGGGTGGGATAGACCTTTGCTTGGCTTACACCACTTGAGATTTGGGCCTGTTAAATTTAAAGACTTATGTCTCTGAACAAACCTGGATTTTTTTTTTTTTAATTTTATTTTTTTTGAGACAGGGTCTCACTGTGTAGCCCTGACTAACCTGGAACCTGCTATGTAGACCAGGCTGGCCTCAAACTCACAGAGATGCAATCTACTTGCTTCTGCTTCCTGAGTATTGGGGTTAAATGCATGCATTACCATGCCCTAGCCAAACTAAAAAAATTCTTAGCCATAATCCATTTAATCCTTGTCTCTTCTGTTCTGGAAGACTGTCTATTTAAATGAGTTCCAGACCTCATTTTGGTCTTCATGTCTTAGAATGTTTTAGATTATGAAGTATCACACATTCAAAAGAATAACTTTTAATTATGGTTTAGAAGATTGTTATAAATTTTAATTATGTTACATGGAGCAAACATTCATGAAACCACCTCTACCAGCCTGAACAATCAAACATGACTAGAAAAGTGCAAGTCAGATGACCAAGTGACTCTTGTAGTTTTTGTAGAATCAATAAGAAAATCTGGTAAGATGCCTGGCTTGGTACTAAATAGATATTCCTTCCTTTATGAGAGGCAGGATCAGAGATGAGATGGGTTAGATTTCATTATTTGCTGAATTTTGAAGTACTTCATGTGCTGGACATAACAAACACTGGAACTTCATTATCTCTTTTACTCTCACATCTACTACTAGAGAATGAACTATTAGCACTGGATTCTATGTAGTGCAGTGCCCACCGCCTCCCTTTTTTTTTCATTGCTGAGGACTGAACCCAGGATCTTGAGCATACTAGGTGAGTTTTCTATCACCAAACCACAACCCCAGTTCCTGAATTTAATGACTTTTGCAAGGGAAAGGGGATTCCCTGAAGAAACCTAGGTGATAAGTCTGTGGGTAGGGCCATCTTTAAGCCACAACTTAGAGCATACCTTCTTGGCAGAAGATCTTCCCCAGGCATCCCTGGTTGAATGTCCGCCTGTGTTTCTCTGCCATGTCTGTCCTCCTGAACTCTAGTACTCAGCCAGCACAGGGTTGCCCTTTCCACCTCTGAGTCTCCAGCACTCAGTGTAGTATCTGGCTCATAAAAGTTGATAAATAACACCTATTCCTTAATTCTTAATGATGGAGTAATATAAATATTATGCTAGAATAACTAATTCTAGGTGGCAGTTTTTATTGAGTACTTATTATATGCCAGGTGCTATAATTAATTTTTACAGACTTTACACAGACAGTCATAATAATGAGTTAAGATGTACCTAAACAAGTTATCTCATTTAATTCTCAGCATAATCCCAGAAGGTAAGTATTGCTGCTACCTATTTTACAGACTATGAGTTGTGTTGTAGTTGATGTTCCTAAAGTCAACCTTTGTTTAAGTAGGACCTGGATTTGAACCTGAATCTGATTGCAGAGTTTGTGGGCTTGGCAGTTTAGCATGTTGTTCTCTGGAAATTTCTATAGACAAGTCAGATTTAAAACAAACGGACTTTACTGATCTTGAAAAATTGTCAAGAAGCCTGTCCCAGCGTTGGGACAATTTGCTGTAACAAGCTACGGCAGCCCAGATGGATTTAAGCATATATTGCAGTGACTGTTTTGTGTATCTGCCCCTGGAGCACGTGCAGCCTCGGCACAGACTGGTATTAACCTATTGAAGAAAGGAAATGACATCTATATGCCTGTTGGTAAAACACTTGTTTTGGTTGACCCAGAATTGGCATGGCAAGACAGGTTGGCTTATTATATTCAGTTGTATAGTGGCAGCTTGTGGTGACTATGCCTGACATTAGACATTATATTCCTGAGATGGGGCCTTGGGTAATGGTTAAGGTACAAGTTGGTGTTAATTGGACTGTCTGGCTAGCATTTCTGTTGACTTGAGGACAGTGGAAAGACTGTGGCATTGAAACATGTGTCCTTTAGCTCTCACCCAAAAGCCCAATTTTTTTTTTTTTTTTTTTTTTTTCTTTTTTTTTTTTTTTTTTTTTTTTTTTTTTTTTTTTTACTTTGGATTAAACAGTGCCAGTCATTTCCAACACTGCCAACATGGTTACTCAAATATCTTTTTCTATTATGAATTATATTTCAGGGCTAAAGGGATAGGTAAGTAGTTAAGAGTGTGTACTGCTCTTGCAGAGGACCCCAGCACTCTCATCAGGTGCCCTACAACTGCCTTAACTTTCGATCCAAGGGGATCCAATGTCTCCAGCCCCCAAGGGCATCTGCACTCCTGTGCGTGCTTATTCCTGCATATATACACACACATATACACAAAATTTACATATACACATAATTTAAAAATAAAATATCCAGGGGCCGGGTGTGGTGGCGCACGCCTGTAGTCCCAGCACCTCTGTGAGTTCAAGGCCAGCCTGGTCTACATAGTGAGTTCCAGGACAGCTGGGGCTACAGGGAGACCCTGTCTCAAAAAGACCAAAAAAAAAAAAAAAAACTAAAAAAAAAAGATAAAACATCTAAAAAAGAATCATATTTTTTGAGTAATATCAAAGCTAAAACCTATCTACAACAGTGTGGCTGCTATAGGATTGTATTTTGATTTAAAACTAAAATAACTTTAAAAATTCTCTTTGCTATGTTTATTAATGCAAACAAAATCTTTTGGTTCTAGAAATTTGGATCCTTGTAATTTGATGGAGTACCATTAGTAGTAGCTATTTCTAGAGTTAACATTGACTGTTAGTAGCTGACTCAGTGTCAGTCATACACAGATGGTGATAAGAAGGGAAAAATGGGCCTGGGAAAATGACTTAAACTGTGGGACTCATGGTACACACAATGTTGATGTCACAGAATGTTACATAAGCGATTCATTTCTTCTTTCAGACGGGTCGAATTGACAAATCCTACCCTACAGTATGTGGCCACACAGGACCAGTGCTGGACATAGACTGGTGTCCGCATAACGATCAGGTTATTGCCAGCGGCTCGGAGGACTGCACGGTTATGGTAAGTTCCTAGGGTGTGGCATGGCACAGGGCATTGAGACGCATCACCTGCTTTTAGTTCTAGCCAGGCATGGGTGTGTGTGTGTGTGTGTGTGTGTGTGTGTGTGTGTGTGTATACACTCACAGGGATGCTCAAGACTTAAGGAGCAGAAATCATAGCAGTTTTCATTTTCCATTGGATTGTATACATTAAGGCTTAACTACAGATGAGCTCCTTACAATTCCTTGTATCAATAAGTTGAACTATATTCTTTGTTCTTTTATGTCATACATGTACCTTATTTGCATATATATGTATCTTCTTATTTAGTTAACATCTGTTCTGTGGGGAAGATTTTGGGGAAAGTAAGATGGTTTTCTAATAATTTTGTGAATGCCATTTGACTACTTGAGCACCAGCCCCTCTCTCCACAAGAATGATTGAAAAAGCTATTGGCATAAACTGTATTGTTACAGGCAGTGAGGTACTGAGAGTTATGCAGAGTGTCTGGAATATGTGACAGAATTGAGATGGTAAGTAGCAAGTGCTTATTTCCAAGCTAATGTCTGAAGGTATTTTCTGTCTACTGCTGAAGAAAGCCAATTTTGTGAATATACACAAGTAGAAAACTCAAAAGTTGTTTACATTTCCTTTAGATTCTAAAGGTAGGTTATACATGAAGCCAACCTTTGGGGTACTTTGGTTGGTTTACTTTGAGGCAGGTCTTGCTTGCTGCCTGGGCTGGTCTTGAACTCCTAGACCCCAGTGATCTTCCTGCTTCAGATTCCTGAGTCCTTCTGATGGCTGTGTAGTCTTCGATCACTTCCGTGCTTCCTGATTCAGTCAGGTGTCTCAGGCTCACTTTGGGCATCTTTGAATTGGCCATTTCTTTCAGATCCTGGCTTCTTTGGTTGGAAAGTAGTGTTTCTACATCATAGCCTGAGTGCTGGTAATTGTCATTACCGTGATGTTGGTTGTTCTTAATGATCTAGTAAATCATTGGCTGGAGATGTAACACTTGGCCCATCCTAATATCTGAAGTTTACTTCAGGACTGTGTTTAACCTTCATGTTGCATCCATCCCCTTTCCCACTGAGAATCCTGGTTCTCAGGGTTACAGAGAGTAAATGTGAATGTCCTGATCGGTGTCGTTTGCATTTCCACATTCTGCAAATAGACTCTTAAGGGAAAAATGCTGGTACCACTGCCAGCTGTCATTGGTGGTGGTAGTGGGAGTGGGGGTTGCATTCGGGAGCACTTGGTCTCCAATTATGGTTATTGAAAAAAAATTTAAGGAGGCCTTTAAATCTATGCTGTCTCTGTCCTCTCTTCATGTACTCGTGATGGTCAAGTCTGGTGTGATATCAGTCTCACACCTGTAATCATAGCACTGAGGAGGCCAAGGCAGGAAAATCACACATTTGAGAGTGCCCTTGATTGTCCTGTCTCAAAAAAGAAAAAGAAAAAATGTACCGTCATCCCTCAGGGGACTGATCCCAGGGCCTGCCACTTATCTGGAATCTGAAATCTGTGGGTGCACTAGTCTCTTGTGTTAAATGTGTACAACCTACATATGTCTTCTATCATGCTTCAGAGATGATTTGTAGACTACTTACAATACCCAGTACAATATAAATGCCATAAAATAATTATTAAGCTGTATTGTTTAGGAAATAATAGCAAGATAAAAATATGTACATTAACCAGGTATAGTGTAAATACCTTTAATCCCAGCACCTGGGAGGCAGAGGCAGGTAGATCTCTGTGAGATCAAGGCCAGTCTGGTCTATATATTGAGTTGCAGACCAACTGGGGCTGCAAAGAAACAAATGTGCATGTTTAGCACAGCTGCAACCCCCCCCCCCCACACCACC